CAGTGTAGCAGTGAAAAGCCGCCAGTAGCAGATTTTGCAGTTGTTGGATTTGCACATCTACTTGGCTCACTTTCTGACTCAAGAGATGACAATTTTGTTCTTCCTGTTTTGCGAGTCTGTTCCTCCAGTTTCGCGAGCGCTGGTGTGGTGCACAGTGGTGCAGGCAAGCAGAGTTGGCTCTCCTCCCCGAGCCAGCCAGGCTCGGACCCAAACAGATGTTAAATAGAAATTGTGTGTATAAAAATGCTCTCCTCCATTCAGCTCAGCCTTCAGCCACAGCTACTGCTTTACTGATTTGATCCTTGTGGCACAAGTTTCCCAGGAAATTTCAGGGGAAATCCTGAGATGACGGGCACTCGCTACATCTGAGTGTGGCAGTAGACTTGCAGGTGCAGGTGCTGTCTGGGATGAATGGTGAGATCCAGCCAGGGATCTCAAAACATAGCAGCAAAGTGGTTCCTGTGGGTAAGCAGTGCAGTGAGGAGGGGTCTTCTCACACTGTCCTATCACATCTGTGCTTGACCTTTGTTTATTTCTCTTTCCGAATCCTTGGAGGAGATTTAACAGCTGCCAGGGTTGTCCTCAGGAACATCAGTCTGAGGAGGCTTGCTGCCATCACGGTGTTTTTCTGTTGCTCAAAGTCCCTCTGTCACCCTCCTCGGTGCAGGTGAAATTGGTCTCTGGTCGCTGGTGGTCCTGGCTATCGAAAGATACGTAGTGGTCTGCAAGCCCATGAGCAACTTCCGCTTCGGGGAGAACCATGCCATCATGGGTGTTGCCTTCTCCTGGGTCATGGCCTTGGCGTGCGCGGCTCCCCCGCTCTTCGGCTGGTCCAGGTAGGGAGGGCACCAGGCCCAGCGCGGGGGGCGTGGGAGCCTGGCTGGCGGCTTGGCTGTGTCTTCCAGCCCATCTCCTCCGCTGGGCACTCACCTGCTGGGCTCACCTTGCAGGTACATCCCCGAGGGCATGCAGTGTTCGTGTGGGATCGACTATTACACTCTGAAGCCAGAGGTCAACAATGAATCTTTCGTCATCTACATGTTTGTGGTTCACTTCATGATCCCCTTGGCAATCATTTTCTTCTGCTATGGGAACCTGGTTTGCACTGTCAAGGAGGTGGGTACCTGCCAGTGACGGTGGGCCAAGGGCCATCTTGCTGGGAAGGGGCCCGCACCAGGTTCCAGACTGGTGATAGGGAGGGCCTTCCAGGGGCCAGGCTGGCCCTCTATGAAGAGGGAAAGAGCAAATTCCAGATGTGCAGCTTGACTTCTGTGAGCCCTGACCCCACATCCCTGAGGTCACTCACTGGCTCCATCATGTTTCCATTCCTTTCTGCCCGCAGGCTGCTGCCCAGCAGCAGGAGTCTGCCACCACCCAGAAGGCAGAGAAAGAAGTGACCCGCATGGTCATCATCATGGTCATTTCCTTCCTGATCTGCTGGGTCCCCTATGCCAGTGTCGCATTCTACATCTTCACCAACCAGGGATCAGACTTTGGGCCCATCTTCATGACCATCCCGGCGTTCTTCGCCAAGAGCTCTGCCATCTACAACCCTGTCATCTACATCGTAATGAACAAACAGGTAAGTGGCAGGGGGTGAGACAACTCCTTTTTTGTGTTTCACTTTATAACAGCTGGCAGAGAGTTATGGCATCTCAAGCTACCAGTGGGCTGAAGTGGGGGTTGTTTCCAGGTGATCTCATCCTGGCACATGGGAGGGTGACTGTGCAGCTCAGCCTTGGCATTGCATAAATCTCACCAATGCAAGGCCATTCAGCCTAAAATGATGCGGGTGCTGGGTTGATGGAGGAGCCGGGGCTTCGGCAGGCGGGGCTGGCAGCAGCCAGTGGGGCAGGAGACTCCATTGGCGTGGTGTCTCCTGCGCTGTGGTGCTGGGGGCTTCCAAGCAGCTCTGCTTGGAACAGAGCTGCCTCGTGTCCACCTGCCTCACACCGGGCTTCCCTCTCCCAGTTCCGTAACTGCATGATCACTACCCTCTGCTGTGGCAAGAACCCACTGGGAGATGACGACACGTCTGCTGGCAAGACAGACACCTCCTCTGTCTCCACCAGCCAGGTCTCTCCTGCGTAGGCCCCACCTGGGCCAGTCCCTGGGGTGTGCATCGCCACCCCAGAGCACGAACTTAGTCCCACCGCCGCCGCCACCGCCTGCCCCTGCTTTGCCACGGCCGAGGCCCCGTGGGGCGGGCTACTCTCTCCTGGCACTAGGAACCCTGGGAACAAGGCTGAAAATGTGTACACGTTTTGTAATTAAAATGCAAAGGCTTAGCTCCTCTGGCGTATATCCGTGAGTTTCTGTTGACTTGCTGAGAGCTCATGCCCCTGCCATGGGTGCAGATCCTGGGTTGGACAGCCCTGCCATGCCTGGACTGTGGCAGAGCTGCCCTCACCTCTCTCTCCCCACCTTGGCGCCCTGGCCAAGGCATGTCCTTCCTCTGCCGGGGCTGGAGCCAGGGCCACCTCCCATCTCTGCCGCTGGAGATGGATCCCAGCCAGTGCCACACGGCTGCTCAGCCCTGCCACGCTCCAGCTGCCCAGAGCAGGTTTGGCTGCGTCAAGGTGTCTCTGGCCCTGCCAGGTGCTCCCAAATGCAGCCCTGCCCCACCTCCAGCCTGTCAGAATCGCCCAGAGGCACTGCACCCCCTCTAGGGGGACAGGACAGATACAGGTGCATGTGGGCCCTTCTGTGCTGCAGCGGTGAAGGCCGTGGATCCTGCCCAGCAGGCAGACAGCACGGAGGGCCCTGCCAGCACAGCACAGCACAGCACAGCACAGCACAGCACAGCACAGCACAGCACAGCACAGCCATGTGCAGCCACAGCGCTCAGAGCTCTGTGCTCACTCCTGCAGCACTGGCGAAGCAGCACGTGGACAGTTTGTACCCTCAGCAGCAGCCCCACTCCATATCCCCCAGCAATCTTTCTCACAGTCCCACCCGTCATCTTTAGGCATCTTTGGACCCCCAGGGCCAAGCTCCCAACACGCTCCCCCGCACCCCTCCCCATTTGGGCTGCGGTCAGTTTGGCCTCAGCCCAGGAGGAGGTTTTGGGCAGCTCCTGTGCTGTTGAGGCTCGCTGGGTTGAGGGCTGAGCTCCCCCGCGCCGCAGCAGGCGGGACGCGGCAGCATATGGCTCAGCGACGCCGACATATGTTCGAAGCACTGCAAGATGGCATATTGCAATTGTAGCACTGTTCTTCATTTTTATTTTTAGCTCAGTTATACAAATAAGATGTTTTTCTCCCTGTTCAGTGTTATCAACATTTGAAACTATTTTTGTACATTATTATCCTCTCTGATTTCTAATCCTATGCAGCTTTGCAAGGACTAATAGGGAACATATAGAGCCCATGCAAGTTAAACCCTTAATAAAGAGCAATTTGCAAGTACAATTCTCTCATTATTTTTTTTTTATCAATACTTCTGCATATTCAGTGAAATCTAAGGATTAGAGTTTTATGAATAATTCAGTGTTTAGGCTGATGTCTGATTCACGTACTTCAAATCTGGGAGGTGGTTTTGGAGCGAAGAAGAAGAAGGATTTGGTGTTTATTTGAAGAAGGATTTGGTGTTTATTTGGTGTCCACGAGACTGTGCTCCACAGGAGAGTGGCACTGCAGCTCACCTGCCCGTGCAGGACCAGCCCCAGCACACAGCCTGCGGGCTGTCACCCCTCACCATACCCAGCCCTACAGCTACTGCTGGTGGTGTTAGCAGCAAGCAAGGGTTTGGGACCCCCCTGCCAGCTCAGCTGGGTACCAGAGGCATCTCAGAGCTGCCGGAGAGGTGATGGCTGGATCCAGGCAGCCCCGCTGCTCTCCAGTGTCCCCACTGTCTGCTTCCTGGGGAATTTGGATATGGACTGGAAATGGAGCAGGGAGCAGGCTGGTGGTGCTGGTCTGGGGTTATTGGGCATGTGGTGCTCCAGGCATCCGGTCTCGCTCCCAGCTGCCACACCTGGCTCCTGCTGCCACCTTAGCCAGGATCTGGCCCTCAGGCTCAAGTAGTGGGCACAGACCTTGATGAAAGTCTCTGTGGGCAGCAGTTTGCAGGTGCATTACCATGGTGACAGGTTTGCTGAGGTGGCCATGAGCCAGTCCTGCCATAATATAATCCTGGCTCGCAGCTTCCTCATCTTTCGGACAGACAATGCACATGAAAGCCCCGTGAGCCTCCTGCGTAAAGAGGGAGGGATTGATGGGGCACTGGGGAGGAACACAGCAGTCCCCAAGGTGGGGACATCTGTGCTGTTCCTGCACCAAAGAACTGTCAGTGATTTCCTTAGGATCACCTTGTCAGCACAGGCAGCAGCAGAGAGGGGGACATGGAGGGAACATAGCTGTCCATGTCCAGGGCTAGGAGTGCTCTCCCTGAGCATGGTGGGATTCAGTGGCTGGGACAAATGGTCATCCTGCTTATGAACATGCTCATGGAGATACTGGGGGGGAGTCACTTCTCCTGCCTTTTTGCTGACTAACCAAGCAGCTCTTCATTTTCCTCTTCTCCTTTGTGGGATTGTTTTTTCGCCCCATTATCAGACCTCTGCTTCTGAGTGAGGCAAAGGAAGATAGTTCATCCCCCCAGCACACTGGGAACAGGTTTGTGTGGGCCCCATGCTGCAAGCTGGCTCCCCGTGCACCCCACAGCAAGTGCTGTCAGCAAGCTGCCATCCCAGCACCCCAACACCCACCCAGCAGTGGTAGGTGCCTTTCCCCTGCCACTTCAGGGCAATCATTCCACAAACTCCCAGTCCCTCATCCCTCTCCAAACTCACTGCTCAGGTCTGCCCTTTCTCCCTCCAGCCCCTCACAAAGCTCTGGCAAAGGGCACTTGACTTCCCAGCCCCAGCTCCCACCTGGGGTAGAGACCAGAGCAATTAGCAGCTGCCAGCCAGCTGCCATTCAGGCTGCTCATCAGATAAATTGCAGGGAGGTGCTCTGGGCCTAAAGAGCAGTAGTCAGTGGTGCTGTGGCTGCCTGTGGGCTGGTGTGTTCTGCTATGGAGCCTCAGATGGGTAAGGGGGCTGCAAGTGCTGCAGGGTGTTACAGAGCTGGGTCTCTGGGGAGTCTCAGCTGTGGCTCTGGTGGGGCTGGGGCTTGGTTTGAGCTCTTGTGGCTGCAGTCCCTGTGAGGCTGTAGGGATGAGCAGGGTTATGGCTGCTCAGCTTCCAGGGGCTTTGCAGCCCTTGGGGTGTGAGTGTCTCAGAGCTGGACCCCAGGCTCAAATGGTTCCTCTTCCAGCGGCTGAAGCTGCTGGTGAAGCGCAGCTCCCGGGTCCGCTGGTCCTGGGCCGCGTGGGCCGACGCCCTTCAACCCTGCAGATGGTCAAAGAGGCGCTGCAGGCCCAGGATGAGAAGAAGGGCGCTTCTGTCTTCACTATCAAGCAATTCATTCTGACCAAGTACCCCAGCGAGGATCCTGTCCGGCTCAAGTACCTGCTGAAGCAGGCGCTGAGCAAGGGGCTGAGCCGTGGGGAGCTGGTGCGGCCCCGCAACTCCTCTGCTGTGGGGGCCACCGGCACCTTCATGGTGAGCAGGGGCTGCCAGGGCGGCTGGGGGCTGAGGGGCTGCCTGGGCCCACTGACACCCTGCTCTCGCCCCCAGTTAGCACCCAAGGACCCACAGCACAAGCAGCATCCAGGCCAGGCAAATCTGGAGAGAGGACGGGCCCTGAAGCCAGGACAGAAAGGAGGGACCACCAAGGACCCCTGTGCCCCCCTGACTGGTGCACAACAACAAGGTAAAGGGCTTCTAGGGCATGAGTCACCCTGTGCTGCCTGGCCCCACCAGGACTCATCCACCACCCTGTCTGCAGGTGCTACAAAGCAGAAGCTGACAGCCACGAAGCAGAAGCCAAAAGCAAAGCCTGTGAATGTGAGTAGGTGATGGCAGTGGGGCTGGGTGGCTCATGGCATGGCAGCAGCCTGAGATGCTCCGTTCCCTTCCTCCAGGCCCAGCCACAAGCTGCAGCGAAGCCTGGGAACGGTGGAGCAAAGCCTCGGCGAGCTGACCACCGTCCCCAGGCCCCTGGCACGGGGTGTTCGGGGCCCTCCAGAGCTGCCAACTGCTCCCAGGCCCCTGGCACAGGGTGTTCAAGGCCCCCACGAGCTGCTGACCACCCCCAGGCACTTGGCAAAGGACACTCAAGGCCCTGTGGGGCTGTGGCTGCTGAGGATGCAGGAGGGAGCAAAAGCAACAGCTGTGCAGGGGCAAAGGGGCCCCGAAAAGTCCCTGGGGGAAAGAGCAAGGGGAAGGTTCCCAAGGGAGCACAGCAGGATGCCCCCAAGGCACAGAGGGGTCAAAGCCAGGCGAAGAAGCCCCGGGTGACCCCAGGAGCCAGGCAAGGGGAAGCCAGGCTGCAGAAGGAAACCTCCTCTGGAGAGGGCAGAACAGCTCTCTAGGGATGCTTGCACAGTCCCACTTAGCCCTGCTTCAGCTGGCCCCAGGCCTTTGGGGTCTGGGCTGGTTTTAATCCCCAGGACAGATTTTAACTCTGTTTACCTCTTCCTAATAAAGTTTATTTATTCACCTCATGGAATGGCCCAGCTGCTGCCCTGGTTGTGAGTCCCTGTGCTCCCATTTTCCATGGCCTCATCCTGCATGGCATGGTAGTGAGTGGATACTGCAGACAGCTGCCTCTCTGCCTGCCCTCATGGAGAGGTGCCCTGTCTGCCCTGCGTCCCCAGTTGTGGTGCCAGGGGTATGCTGGGCTTTGGGGGCTGATGGCACTGATGGCCTGGGCAGGGGCCCTGGGACCCGTGAGACACAGCATGGTGGCACCCCTAGGAATGGAGAAGCTCAAGCTTGGCCAGTCCTGCTGGTGTGGACTGTGTGAGGTGTCGAGCCCTCTGCCCTCTTGGCTGCCCTTGTGCTGATGCCTGGCTGAGCTGGGATTATGAGAGTGCCAGGGTGGCAGGTCTGGGTGCCTGCCTTGGTCCCCAGTACCGGGGGGAGCTGTGTGTGCTATAACTATAGTAAGATAGAGGTGTTTTAGGGCTCAAAAAATGAGTTTGAGGTGCTTGCTGTAGCCCCCAGCATAGTTTGTGCTCTTGTTACCTGTCTGTGGCACAGTTCCCACACACAAACCTGTCTTGTGAGCTCCTGTGGGTCATATGACACTTTCCTTTAACAGATTCGAATGCCTGAATTTCTCTTGCTCTGCCCAGAGCAGAGCCCTTCTGAAGGTCAGGCTGATCATGTAAAGGGTTACAGTCTTCCTGGGTGGGAGAAAATAAGTGGAAGTAAAACTCTTCCTAAAGAGGATTTCACTAATCTGCAGCTGGCCTTGCCAATGCCCTCCAAGGCTCCTGGCCTTGCTCTGGAGCTTAAGCAAGAGCTGAGCAAACTAACTTCTCTTTAAACTTCAGCCTTGACTATGTTGATCCATCTGTAATGGAGCTGGAACTTGTGTCCCTCCAGGGAGAGGGGGGGGAATATGGCAGCAGTAACTGAGTTCACTGGATCCTCTGATATGATAGCAGTGGCCTCACAGAGCCCCACTGGCCCACGTGGCAGTGTCCCAGCAGAGCAGGGAAGGGGCTGTGTCCTCCCTCCTCACCAGCCACAGTGTGAAATGCGCAGCTCTTGCTTTGAGAGAGGCCAAATCATTTAATGGCTGGATTTAGCTTTACTAAGCAACAACTTCCTAGCAGGAGAAGAAAATCCCTCCAGTGTCTGGAAAGTGCAGCTTTTACTGGGGGAGATGGAAGAGCCTGGATTTAGCAATGCCATGCTTATTAAGGCCCTGGGCTGCAGCTGGTTCAGGGTGCTGCAGCTGCAGCCTCGTGTGGCACTGCAGGGAGGTACTGGCTCCCCAGGGCTGGAGGGGGGCACTGTGCCATGGGCCGGGCACCTGGCAGAGGTAAGGGTGCCCAGCCCCAGCTGCTGCTGTGGGGTTACTGGTCTTTGTGCACAGCACAGTGTGGGTCAGTTCGGGTGCCAGTCGTCTGCTCCCGTGCCTGTTCCAGGGGGAGCCATGGCTGTGGCAGTGTGTGAGGCCACAGCGAGCTCTGCAGCTCCGAGAGGTACAAACCCATCTGCTGAAGAAACAAGGGAGTTCTCACTGACCTGCTGACCCTGCCCACGGTGTCTCGTACATGCAAGGCTCGTCTGTGCAGGTGTCTTCCATGTGTGTATTCTGCAGGCACAGGGGCAGGAACTGCACTGCACAGGTTCAGCACCTTGTTTTATTACAAAGATAGGCTTTGCCAGGAGTCTGCCACTTCCACTACACAGCAGGTAAGGGCACTACATCCACAACACGTGCCAAAGTTGAAAAACATGTTACAAAGGGCTCGGGGGTTCAAGGCAATACAACACTACAAACCCTCGAGCTTTTGCTCTGCTAAAGTTGTTCCTTTACATGGTTGTAGCAAATACTTCTTTTTTTCTTTTTTTCTTCTTTTTTTTTCTTTTTTTTTCTTTTTTTTTTTTTTACTTTGATAAAAATTAAATAACAAAGCAATAGTCTCAATACACAGCCCAGTCACAGCACCTGGAGGCAAACTCTGCTTGCTCTTGACTCACTTGTATCCTTTCCCTTTAACAAACAACATGGGGCTATAGCTCCATCACCCTTTCCCTGCCTCCAACCAAGCTCAACATTCTCTGCTCCCTTGCTCTTTCTTGCCCTTGCCTTCCCTGTACTGGGCCTGCCTAAATCTCTGGCAGCTATTCACAGTTTCTAACAGAAAAAAAATTCAAAATAAAATGTAGCCCAGCTACATTCTTAAGAGTTTATATTCTGAAGCCACATCCTCAGCAAAGACATTGAGACCTCCACAGTGTAAGTACTTTTTCTGTAGTTCTCTTTAAAAAAACCCTCTGTTCTTCCCCTTTCCCTTCCCTCCCTTACCCCCTTTTAACATACTGGATAAAGTCTATCATTTGTTTTAAAATAGATATCTATGTACACATACACAACTCTGATACTCCGGTTTCTGACAAACGTGGCATTACTGGAAACAGTGGAAACGGGAGGCCACCTGTCCATGGCAGAGAGTCACCCAGGAGGACTTTTGGTGAACAGTTATCTAATACCAGGCTGCATCACTGTCAGCTGGACGACTAACAAAGGCTCCCCTTACACCCTCCTGCAGTGAGGTAGTAACTTTTTTCTTTGTTCCTTTCCTATTTGGCAGTTTGAACCATGGCATCTGCAGTGGGTCAGCCCTGTGGGCAGGAGCCTTTGCCCAGGCAGGAATGCTGGCTTCGAGCACGTGGCGCTGGCTGCATCCAGCCTCTTCAGAGGGGCCCGTGTGACACTGGAGACCAGAGCAGTCACAGCTCCCCAGGCTGCAGGAAGGAGAAGGGGCCACCGAGCTGGGATGGGGGGTTGCCCCAGTGCAAATGCCACAGGGCAGCACTGGGGTTTCTGATCTCGGATGAGTCCATTTGTCTGCCAGTGGGACCCTCTCGCTGACCCCAGCCTAAGCCTTGAACACTCTCTCCCTCAGTCTGCAGCTCGGGATGCTGGAGGTGCTCTGCTGGCCTGCATCAGTGCTGGGCTGCCAGGACGTGGGTCCAGTCCCTCTGCCTTTAAGGTCTGAAAACAGGCTGGCCATGCAGCCAATGCCCCCTCTCTTGGCTGCTCTTCGGTATCAGATACGGGGGCTGGACCTGAAGCACGCAGAACAAGCTGCTTTGGGAGACTCCTCTGCAGCACTGACCTTGTGTTCAGTGATGGCTGTGGGGAGAGGCAGAGAAAGAGAGAATGCTACCTGGTGTTTGCCCTGTGTGGCTCGAGGCCACTGCCACAGGGTTCTCAGCAGGACCTGGCCCTGTTGGCATGAAGGGCATTACTGGGGCCAAGCTGGGGCAGTGCCACAGACACAAGTTGAGCCAGTGCAGCGAGGCTGGGAGCAAGGGACACTGTCTTTCCCTCACCCTCTGTCTGCATCTGGTCTAGACAGGACCGTGCCTGCGACCAGCCGGTTGGGCCGTGGGATGTTTGCCTACCCACTGCACCTCCAGCTTGCTGTGCATGAGAGACAAGAACCCAGGGAAGGGGGAACAGCCCTTCCCACACTGTCTTACATGGATTGCACTCCCTCTGGCACCCAAACAGCTGTCTCTGTTAAGGATAAAGTGCTTTCACCATGCCTTAGCTGCTTGGGAAGCAATTGCTTTGTCTCAGCCCCAAGTTCCCCATGTTGCCCAAGTCTCAGATGGAGGGGCAGTTATGCTTACACATACAGTACAAAATTAAAAGGCACAAAAATACACAGAATGCAGCAGATAGCAAACAGCTGATAAGAGTCCCTGGTGTTTGAAAAACAAGGATGTTGGAGGGATGGAGTGGAAGGGAGCTCAGGCGTTGCTCTGATGGCCTATGCGGTGTCTACTCATTACTTCCCGAGGTGACCCTTCTGCTTTGTGTCTGTTGTTCCAGCCTCTGCAGCCCCATCCCTTGTCCTGAGGAGCCACACGCAGGGATGCAGGGAGCACTGACTGCTCGGGCGCTGACCAGAGGGAAGTGGTGAACTGAGCTTGCCCCAAGTGTCACACCTCCATTTCTGGCTGGCAACAGCAAATAAGTTATGGGTGCCACAGTGCATACCAGAGGAGTCTGAGCTGCTCTGAAAGATGTCTTGTGGCTTCTTGTGATGTGAGGAAGGCCTTCGGCCATGGTCAGGCCCACCCCCACCACAAGGCTGGTTTGAGGATGACCACGGTGTGCCTGCAGCTGAAGGCAGGTCCCCTGTGGCACTGTGCTGCGAGAAAGGTCACTTCCAGGGCTGCAGCCGGCCTAGGCTTCACTGCAGCACTCGTAGATGTTATCCTCCATCAGCGCAATCACTTGTTCGAATTTGTGCTGGAGCTGGGTGCGCTTCGTTGTGGGGTTGGCATCCAGGGCAGCCACGATCTGTGGGTGACAGGGCAGGGGGGTGGATAAGGCAGTGTAGGGGTGCTCACCTGCCAGCCCAGTTCCCACCACCAGCCCTGTGGAGCCAGAGCTGGAAAGCCCACCCTGCCCTACAGCCCCTGCACAGCTGCTGTCTTAGGGCACAGCTGGGTCCTCGGTCAGGGCTGGGAGAGGAGGAGAATGGGGTGGAAATGCTCTGCAATAACAGAGCTGAGGGCACAGCACCAACCTGTGGGTGCAGGAGCCAACCAGGGCCGCTGCCTCGGTGGGGGTGGCAGGTGCAAGCTACGTGGGGGTGGGTGGACTGTATCTGCATGTTCTGCTCTCTTGAAAGCACCCACACATCAGACAGCCCCGCCTGTCTGGCCCAGTCAAACGCCGTTAAGATCAGCTGTGAACAGGTGGCCTTCTCTTCCAAGAAGTTGCCAGCCAAGGGACGTACAGTGGGTGCCTCTGCACGCGCATCTACTGCGTGTGCTGGGATTATGCAAACCCTGATAACCCCCGTTCTGTGGGACCAGATGCAAGTGTCTGACTGTGGGGTTACCACAGTGCTGGTTCCTCCCTCCCGGGCATGCTGGGCCCGAGTGCCCTGAAAGCCACTCACCTGTGAGCGGTATCTCTTGGCATATTTGTATATCTCGGCCATGGCAACGTTGGTGTTGAACTCATTCCGGTATTTCTTTATAAAGACAGAAGCAAGAGGGGATAATATTAACAGGATGCAGCATGTGAGTTTCAGACCAGCCAGCCTGCACCAACTACATTAAAAGCAGGTTTTGCCTGGGTAATTTTATTAGTTGCATTCATGCAGCCAGATTCTTGCCTTTTTCCTTTAACGAGGGTGCATTTGCTTACATCAGGACAGGTCTCCATCTTTTCAAAGCCAGCCTTAAATAGTTGCTCTGGGCAGCACTGCTTACCCCTCCAGGCCCAAAGCCATTTCACAGGAGGGCAGCACATCAGCTGGGCTGCAGAATGACGACAGAAAAATCCTACTCAGTGCCTAAAGCTAGAACATCTAGGGAGAAAGTCTGATTTTGAGGAATCCACAGTGCATCACTGGCAGAACTCTGATCCAGAGGGTGGTTGCCAGCTTCTGTGGCTGGTACCAGGGCTGGCTGCCAGCGGCTGCCTGGGACTTGGGGCTCACCCTGGCAGTTGCACCCAGGGGCCAGCTGGCCAGGGGGCCGCAGCACTGCAGAGAGCCTTGTCCAAACTTCCTGAATTTTTGGCACTGAATTTCACGCTCAGCTCCCAGTGGTGCCAGAGCTAGTTAGGCTCAAGTGAACTCGTGGGTGTTTACTGCAGCTCTGGCAGTAATTGAAGATGCTTGGAATTAGGTCAGATGAAGTTTATATGTGGAAGTTTGAGGCAAAATATTCTTTCTTGTGTGCTCCTTCTAGCATCCAAGCAGTAGCTGATTGCAGCCTATCTGCATTCCCTGATGCTCCGAGGTGCCAGTAGGACACCAAGCCTGGAGACCCAACCCCATCCCCTCCCTCCGCTTACCCGCGACTCCTCTGCGAGGTGGGCGTTCATCTCCTGCTCACTCAGCGGGGACATGTCGTGGATTTGCTTGTAGTATCGCTGCACTATCTTCCTGTACTCGGGGATCTCCTTGGCATACAGCAGTTTGTTGGTCGGGGAGTCCTAGAGCGAGGGTGAAAGACTAAAATCAAGCCCCGTGTTGTTCCTGGCTGAAAACTTTATCCTGCTGCTTGACCAAAGTGCTGACTGTCCATCAGATAGGGACCTCAGCTACAGCTAGGGACAGGGAGCAGTTCTGCCTTTAGTCCTGGCTGTAACCAGGCAGGACTGCGGGGGAATGGCACCAACGCACCAAACACATGGCCTCAGATACACCAAGGATCTGCAGATGAGCACCATGTGCCTGCGGAGCTACAGCACTGTCTCGCTGCCCTTCATCCTAGCACGAGCTGAACATCTGTCAGCTCAGTGCCAGAGAAGGGGGTTGGTGGGGATGTGTTTTAAGTTGCAGTAAGAGCAGGTTAAAAGCATGCCCAGGGTCAGGGTGGCTTGCTGACAGGTGATGCTCTGCAGGTGAGGTAGCAGCCCTGCTCCAGATCAAACACTTGTGCTCCATGGCACACAGTGTGTGGAAACTAGCAACAAGGAAAGGGCTTCTGCATGCAGTTGCTGGGGTCTCTTGAGCAGCCAGCCTGATTGAAACCAAAGAACAAAGCTATCTCACAAGCTGAACTTTGTCAGATGAAATGTTGCTCTTGGATTTTTCATGTAGCTTTGATTTATTCTGCATTGACTAACCCAGCCTGCCTGGCCTAAATTGAGTGCACGTAATGTAATTAACAGAGAATACTCAATAGTCTTGATTAATGTCAGCTTGGACACAGCAGCCTTAACCTCCCAGCCACACGACTGGGTTGGACCAGTGGAGGTGCAACCCTGCTGCTCTCCTTGCAAAAACAGTGTGAATGATTTTAACCTCGAGGCAATCCTGCCCTGCTGATATCATTACCCTGGGAATGAACTTGGCTGACTGGCCCCATGTTGGATCCCCATGGGGAAGCGCCTCAGACATTGAGGGGCGCAAGATCAGCGTGTCCTGCCACCCTGACACCGGTGTGTGGGACTGCTCTCCAGTGCTCTGACAGCTGGAGAGGGGACCTGCCGAGGAGATGGTGCGGGGGGCTCCATCAGGCAGCGTCCTTGGCTGGGGCAGGCAGGAATAGGGGAGCCCGGGGTGACTGCAATCTGCTGCTGCAATCTGTAGCGTGGCTAATGCTGTGGGAGAAACGGGAAATGGGCACCAGGCTGTGGCACCAGATCCCACAGCAGTTTATTTTCAAACCCAGTGACAAGGCATTACGGGAACACGGCCAACTCACAGAGCCTGCTCACAGCATTATTTTTTTTTCCCTTGGAAGCACAAAGGAAACCCATGCTGCCTCTTTTTAAGTTATTTTTTTAATTTGTGCCTGATTTGTCTGTATTATGAAGAGATGAGCACTGGTTTATTAACTGCTTGTGCACTGTAGATGTACAGACTGAGTCTGTTCTCACTTTTTCAGTATTGAGAGCAATGTGCTGAAACCAAGGGAAGAACCCAGCCTGGAAAATGCTCAGTGATACACTGCATGTACATGCAAGCTGATTTTTAGGATGAGGATTTACTCTTCCCACATTACTCAACAATTCCTTCACTTATGCTATTGTATTCCTGAAAAATGTTTCCATCTGCTGTCTGACTCCAGCTGACCCCTCTTCCCCTCATCCGCCGCTTGACAAGGACAAATTGTAGATGTTTCATAACACACGCAAAAAAAAGACCAAAACCCAAACAAACAAAAAATCAAGCGCTCATTAGATCTTCCTCCAGCATTAACCTCTCCCAGCAAAGGCTTCCTGCAGCTCTGGGGCTGGGGGCACAGCGCCCACCCCCACCCCCTTGTCACAGTGTCCCCCCCATCACACCCTGCAGCCACAGCGTCGGGGCGGGTGGGGATTTACAGCACTCCTTCATCAAACTCAGTCGGGAAGTTTCAAACGTCAACACCGCGCTCAGCCAAGGTTGGGGGGGGAACAGAAAACAGAAAACGTGTGCAGGGGTTGTCCTGCTGCTGGCTGGTCCCACGGGACCATGTGCAGGGCCTGAGGGTGGGAGAGGGGACCTGCTCTGTGCAGCCTCGCATTTCTCGGGGCAGGCTCAGCTCCCCCGGTGGGGGGCTCAAACCTGAATGAAGGGGTGGGGAAGGAGGGGAGGACACATCCCTGGGGACAGCCAAAACTCAGCTGCACGAGCCCAAGCGATGGCTCCAGCCAGTCCTGCTGGGGGGAAGCCTGGCCGGTGACCTCTGCCAGTCCCTGCCCACCCAGACTGGTCTGTGTCTCCGGCTGCCCAAGCAGGAGCGCGGTGTCCTCGCCAGACAGTACCTTGCCCAGCTGCAGGTCAGAGAGAGAGCAGGCGTCGATGAAGGCCTGGGCGATCACAGACAGACAGGCATCGATGTGGTCTGTTTTGTCAATGTCGAAGACGAACTGGGGGTTTTTCAGGATGTTGACCCAAAACCTCAGTGGTAGGCTGCAAAGAGAAGGATCCAGGAACACACACCACATGAATTTTTGTGTTTCAGAGGGATAGGGGAGGAAATGCAGGAGAGATGATGATAGAAAGGGAATAGTAGAGAGAAAAAGCTGAGGAGCCAAATTCTACCATTTAATAACCCCAGTACAGACCCCTGCCTCAGCAGAGGGGCAGGAAAGCACCTTTGCCCCAGAGACATTTCTACAGGCTGGAGGATGCAGCACAGACAGGTGACTGCATGTAGAGCCTCCTCTGGGCACACATACCCCCCCTCCTTCAGCCGTTCCCGAGGCAGCTGTGGGCCTGGAGATGCACCAGCAGCTCTGCCTGTGCGGAGCTGTTGAGTCAGGCTTCCTCCCCTTGCTGCTGTTTGGAGCAATGGTGTCACTGGTTTTTCCCTCTTCCCTGACAGTAACCATCATCTGATTATGATGGTGAGCCTGGCCCCATGAAATGCATTTCATGTGTCTTATTTTCTGCTCTCTCATAATTTTCTTCTTTAATTACTTCACTCCTCATCTGGCCACAACGCAGCTTCAGTCTATTGCTCGACCATCCTACTGTCCCTCCATGGCAGCTGAGGAGCAAAAGCCACTGTAAGTCTTTGCTCAACAGGCCTAATGAAGGTAGCAAAGGGCAGGCAGATCTGTATCCTAATGGTTGTGCCTTCATGCCTGCTTTCCCAGCCAAATTTGGTTTCAATTTTCACACACTGGGCTGGAAACAGTTATTATCCCCACAGCCTGAGAAGCTCCGAGCCTTTCCTGGATTCTCCCTCCAAGCTCCCTGCTCTTCCTGGTCAAAATCTCTGCTTTCTTTCCTGGTTTATTTCCCCTGCACTTTGGCTCCCCCACCCAATTCCCACTGCTCATCACATTCCTCAGCACCACTCTGGCTGGTCCCAGTGCTGCAGTGCCCACCAGCACGCCACTATCACAGCATCAGCTCCCAGAGTCCCATGATAAGTCAGAGATAAGTCAGGAAAATTGTCCTTGAGGGCTGAAAAGCCAGAAAGCAAATGGAAAGGATCCAAATATGCTGGTTTTAAAACATCCATGACTCAGTCTCAGATCTCCAGCGCTTGGAGCTACCACTGCAGTCTCCTGTCATCCTGTTTCTCCTTTCATTATTTGTGTTAGTGTGCCAGTTCCTTCTGCCCTTTATCTGTCCTTGCCTCCTCTTCCAACTCGCTGTTCCCCTGAGCTCCATTTTTGTTTAACACTCTCCAAGCCTCATCTTTTGCTGCCACCTCTGCCACCCTCCCCGTTTTCCAAGTCCCTCTTCTACTTTTAGCAACCTAATGATTGGTCTGGGACACCAGGGCTGTGCAGCTGCTGCTCCTGAGAGATGGAAGGAAGAAAAGAAAGATTTCCTCTTCCAAACCTGTTGGTCTTCCAGATGTGCAGAGTGTCAGGGTCTGTGATCCCTCTCTTCTCTGCTTGCTCCTCTAGGAAGTCAAAAAAATACTTCACGGCCACAGGCGGTTTATCATCTCGGATACTGAGAATGGCTTTGAACAAGTCATCCAGGAACTTCTGGAGTGTGCCCTGCAGGACAAGGACATACTGGAGCCTGGGGAGAGCACTCGAGTCCAGGAGAATAGCAGAGGGGCTGCCACTGCTGTGCACAAGGGGAAAGCCTTTGCTGCCAGTTGGTTAAATCAGAAGAAGCGGATACCAAAGCAGGGAGGGAAAGGTTTGTTTGTGCATAGTGATATAATTAACTTGCATTTGGGTTTAATTTCTTTTGGCATTAAGATTTTCTTTTTTACTGCTGGATCTCACATCTGTGGTTGTTCTGCACATACAAAGAAGACTAGAGACTGCTGGCCGTCCTTGTGATCTCTGCTCCAGTGAGGCACCATGCTGGGATTAAAGACGGTCCAGATCTGACCTAAGATCACACAGACATTCCCCCTGCTCCCACAGCTGAGCATCCCCACCTCCTGTCCCAGCAGGATCTCTTGCAGGGGAGATGGGTTCAGGTCTGAGCTGTGCATCCCCAGCCCCGAGGCAGACAACCTCCCTTTCCTCTGCACAGACTCCATCCAGCCCAGGGAGATGGTGTGGGGCATCACACAGCAGTGAGGGCAGCCAGGGATGCTGGAGGGACCTGAGGAGCCAGAGGTGCCATGCTAAGCATGCTCCAGCCATCCAGGACAGGAGTCCCAGCGCCTCCTGAGAGTGAGCTGCCCGCAGCGCTCCTTCCCTGAAGCAGTCCTGTCCTTAGGGACCACAAACAACCCCACCTGCCACGAATGGGGGCAGCCTGGCTCCTACCTTGGTGGAGAGCAGCCGTGTCAGGTAGATCTCTGGAAGGACTTTCTTCCTATGGCTCTGCCTGTGGGACCTCTTATGTTCCACTGATTCATCAGTTGGGAGAACCTGGCCCCAGGTAAAACACATGGTCAGAACACCCCTCTCTGCAAGTGTCACACTGAACTTTCCTTTCAGTACAGAATTTCTACTACATATAAAATTCCATTAAAAAGCAATTACTGTTTTAGAAACACATCCTTATATGGCTCTTAAAAAAGTGATTTAAAATACTCCGTTTTTCTGCCATTTGTTTCTCCTGTGCTCTTTATTGCCTCTCTCATGCTAGACGAAGGAAATGAACCCATCCATCCTCCCTTGCATGCTGGCCTGCTCTCCCCCTTGGGCTTTCCCACGCCTGTGTGGCTGCACCTTGGGCTCCCAGCAGCAATGCACATGGCATCTGCAGAAACTGGTTTTCCTTGGATTTTGAAAAAGCACAATATACAGAAATATTGGCTTTTTCAAAACAAAAATGAATATTCCACTGGTCAGGTCAGTGAATTACTGCTGTACAATGACAAAGCAAGCCATTGACGTCCATCCTGGCATTGTTCTACACGTGAACAGTTGGTTTCCCATCCCTTTTCCCTCCTTGCTCGGTGAGCATGCGTGTGTGTGGATGTGCATGCTTCTACTTGAACATGGAAACACAAGCTGAGAAAAGAAATCCCAAAACCAGGCTATAAAATATTATTGTTGTCCATAACATCATTTTTCAAAGCAGTGTTTAGCACTCTGTGCTCCCAGAACGGCACACCAGCAGGAACCCACGGACATGCCCAGCCTGGGAAGCTGGCAGAGTGCCAGGAGCTCCTGGCAGGTGACTCGACCCAGGTGTCACAGGATGCTACTGGCAGCACTGTGCCATGCCATGCTCCAAACCTGCTCCTGAGCTCTCCTTGGCTGCCTACAGCTCAATCAGGAACAACAATTTCTCTGCCAACCCCGTAATTCTTTACTGTGTCCCTCAGTACTAAAGTTTGTCTACAGATCACCTTTCTGCACCTCACTGCGCCCTGCTGAAGAGAACTAACAAGCCTTGATCCAGCTTGTTCATCACATCTGATGCCCCAGCCCACAGATAGGTCAGCAAGGCTGAGAGTTTCTCCTCTTTCAACACATGCTCTGAAAAAACTGGAGGCACCGACTCCAGTGCAGGAGAGACGAGGGATCGCTGCACACTCTGTCAGCACCCTTGCTGTCCTGGCAGCAGGACAGATCTGGGAGAGCAGAGCGCTCTGCATGCCAGTGCTGCTGCAGAGCAGGTGTCCTGGAGCAACAACTCTGCTTTCCAGCAGCAGCTCCTGGAGGGCAGGAGGGGAGGGCAGCCCAGGCTCCCACACAGCATCCCTGCAGCCATGAGCAGGATACTCACCAAGTGAAAGTACTTCTCAGTGTCCAAATCCTTCACTGTGAAGAAGAGAGACACAGTGGCTCAGTCAAGGGACCCCAACGGGTACCCACCTCCCCTGGTGCCCTCTGGGTCAAGAGGCATCTGAACCCCAAGACTGAGCTGGTGTTACCCCAAGTGATCTCAGTATTTCTCCTTGGTTTGGGGTTGTTTATTGCATTCTAGGGTGCGTGTCGAGTACCTTAGGAGCTACTTTAAGGGGGACCTGGGATGTCCCAAGGGGTGTTTTAAGAGGGACTCAAGAGAGCACAAGAGCAGGGTGAGCACAGTGGCACTCCTGCACCACGATGCCCTGCTGTGCCCTGCCATGCCCCGAGCTCCCATGGCTCTCTCAGTCTCATCATCAGGTCAGCTCAGCCCCGAGCAGCTCCTCACCCTGCTGGAAAAAGGACTCCCACTGCTTGGCTCTGTGCAGGCGGCCTGAAAATGGGGTTTAAAATTCCTTGTTCAATGTGGATTTTTGTCTCCCTTAGTTTTTTTTTGATTCTGCACAGCCTGAAACCTAGAAATGTGCTGGCAAGAGACTGAACATGTGTAAATGGGAGGGAGAGGGTTTCCCAGCCAAAATGATTTCAGATTCTTGCTTTTTCTCACTCTGTCAGCACAGACTGGATGAGAACCCCCATTCAGAGTGTGAGATAGAAGGTGTAAACACCTTGAAGGCTGGGAGAGTACTCTGCACCCCAGCAAGCAGGAACAGAAGGAGACTGGATAGCACATGCTTAGAGCCACTGCACCCCAGCACCCAGGCATGGGGCCTGGAAGTGGCTCCCAGCATCCCTGGCCAGAGACAACCCATGACAACGCAAGTGTTCCTGCCCAGTCACCAGAAGCAGGGAAAGACGAGCGAGAAGTTACCTCTGCTCAGTGTGGTGTCCTTCTTGTCTGACAAACTCATGGCCAGGGACGCCCCTTCGGGGATCTGTGGAGGAAGGGAAGAGCAGGCATTGATGATGGGGGCCTTAACAGTGCCTCTCCAGCCTCAGGGAGAACCCAGGAGCTGGGGCATGTTGCCACAGTCACGTTCTGCCATGAATGTCCCCTGCATCCACTCTGCCCTGCCCCTGGGCCCAGGTGGGAACTGGCAGTGATGGCACTGCCCTACGTGGAAAAGGAATTTTCAGTGCAAATACAATATAGAGAGGTTCTCAAACCCAATGGGAATTGGGCAAATATGTGTTTCTGACATATGTCTTTGGATGTCAGCCTCAGGTAAGTTGAAGAGGAGGGAGGACTGTGCTGTGCAGGTGCTGGTTTGCCTTTCCCCAAAGGGCAGAAGAACGTGTGGGGCTGGTGCATCCCCTGTGCTGCAGGGCACGACGCCAGCACAGCTCAGCAGCACGGCCTTACCCTGATAACCATATTAATGAGCTCTCAGCCCCGCTTTTGTTTTCTATGCACAGCTACAAACCAGTGAGGATTACGCTCCCAGGCATACCAGGGAATATGGAAATTACGTAAGTATTTCTGGTTTCACTTAATTTTAACACAAAACCGGTCAAGGAAACAATCTGATTCGCCACATATCCCCGTATTTTTGGCCTCAGCTCTTCAATGGTATCCCTAGCCCCTGCTCTTAGGGCAGGCATTGAGTTGTAGCTGTGATTTCAGCAGGAGTGCAGATCAAGAGCAGAGTAACACTAATCAGCCAGGCTGGTGGCCCTTGGGAATAGGAGCTTTTTCCCCTCCTCTTTCTGTTGTCAGTAATAACTTGTTTTGCATGAAGAGTGTTTAATTAGTTTCTGTGTGTTGCAATATTAACGAGATGCTCGCCAGGGCAGATGTCTATTCCCTGGAAGCTCTCATGGAGCTATGGCAACCTCCCTGCTTGTTCCCAATGATCCTGTTTTTGGAGGGGGATCGCAGCTCTCCCTGGAGGCCAGGCAGGCTCCAAGGAGGTGAAGCTCCCCTGCAGCACTGGCAGCTTTACCTTGTAATGTGCTAACGTGTTGAGCTTCTTCCTGCCATCCTCCACCACCGAGGTGTCATCAAGGTCCCGCAGGATGTAGCTGTCGGTGCTGGTGGCAAACCACTCTGAACACAGAGAGGGGAGAAGTGAGACCCCAGCCCGAAGCAGGCAGGTGCCAGGGGGCCTGAGGCTCCAGGGACCGAAAGGCTGCCCTGATGTCTGCCCTCCTATCAGCGCTGCTTCACCCACTGCTCTGAGAGGCACCGACAGCTGCTGTGCAACATCAGGTGCTTCATCTGGTTTTATGGACTGGCTGGTCCTTACCAAGGTCAACATCTTCCACCCTTGGCCACTGGGAGTAGGGGACATTCTTGCAGAAGGCCTCCAGAATCTTCTCCTTCACTTGGCTGAGTGTGTCCGTGTCCATGGCCCTGACGCTCAGGGAGTCCATCCCACAGCCTTGGAAGGAGACGTTGAGGTTCTGCAGGCAGAGGTTGTTATTAGGGGTGACCTGCCTGGCTCTGCTGGCTCCCAAGGAAGCTCGGAGGCTGCAGCACCTACACAGCTCTGGCTGGTGCGCCCCAGGCCACACGCTGATGGAAATCAGGCTGAACTAATGTGGCCATTGAGGCTTTACAGCATGAGAGGTGCTGATTTATAGCCCTGGGGGCTGAGGGTCCCATTTGTTGATGGAGCCGGGAGGACACAGGGAGCAACACCGCAGCTCCCTCTCACGCTGTCTTGCTAATGGGGCCTGGCCCTGATGCAGAGACCGCTGTGGGGCGGGAGTAAGGGTCAACCCCCATCACCAGCTGTGTCCTCAGCCGTTTGGCTTCCACTGGTGACTAATGCGGCTGCCAAGGCTCATTGCTCAGTCCCTGCATGACACAACGGGCCGAGCTCCACTGCTGAAATGACCTCTAAGCAGGATGGGTCTACTGTGCTGCTGGAGCCCACTGCCAGCACCACCAGGAACCAGCTCGAGAACTACTGAAGAGCGGGACAGGCAGCTGTTAGGGGCTGCAGGCTGCCACAGAGGCCTGCTCAGAGCCCAGGGAGGCACAGCTACCACCCCAGCTGCAGCCAAAAGCTGCAGGGCAATGAGAGCAACTCTTGCTATCAGAAATCAGGTTCCTCCTCATCATACAAGCTCTGCAGACCCAATCCTATGAGCACAGCTGCAGCACGTGGGTACTCACCCTTGGCTTTGCCTCAATGTTCTCCCTCAGCAGCCACTCCTCGTTGAGGGTGTACCTGGCTTTTCCCGTAATGGCATCAATAGAACCTTTGTTAATCTGCTGTTTGATGGCACAGATCAGCAGGAAGAAGGGCTCTCCAACTGTCTCCTGGAGAAAGGAAAGACTAAGTCAGCAATCAGGATGCAGTGGTGTGGCATGGACACTGAGAGTGCCTCCACACACTGGGGGGCCAGAACAGTCCACCCCAGGTGCTGTGACCGGCCGGGCGGTGCCATCACCCCCAGCTCCCACCAGCATTTCTCAGAGGCTGCTCAGAAGTTTTCAGACTTGTGGCAACATGACAACGCAGATGGGGAAGAGGACAAAACAGCCGACAACAGCCGCAGGCCGTTTTTGGGGATGCTGTAATTGTCAGCATCAACATACTCCATCCAAGTTCTCCAGCAAGCACTGGAGCTGTGGAATGCCACTGAGGGGCTAGGCCAGCCTGTGCTGTTCGGTGGGCAGAGCTCAGGTGCTGCTCAGCAGGCAGGAGCATATGCCTGGCTGTGCTGAGTGGGGATGTGCACGCACAGTGCTTGGCAAAATACAAATGTGCATTAATTTACATGTGAAATTACACATGAAGTTCATGGAGAATCTGACACACTGTGCTACAGAGATGCTTCCCGAACTCTGACAAGGGTGCAGATTGTACAACATGCCGGACTCAGCAGGACAAGGAGGGGCTGATATGCATAAAACTCCAGGTCTGCAGAGATATTTGGGCAGCATCTGGCTTTCTCATGAATATGTCATCTGAACCCCTCTTTGCACTGCCTGGTTTGCCACTGAACTCCACGGGAGTGAGCCCATGGTCTCAGTCCGTGGCTCTGGGAACCAGTGTTCATACTTCTCATACCACAGCAGAGCCCTCATCACAGCAGAACAGAGAGGATCAGGGTCAACAAGCTGTTCCCATGCGACAGCAAGCAAACAAATCATTTAACTCCTTACATTCATCAAACTTAAGCTCATGGGAGAGAGGTGAACTGCGGCACTGCTGCAGCAAAAACTAAAAACATGACAGCTACACAGTTTAATGCTAGATTTCTGATCCGCTTCTGCCTGATGCACTGACGTGCAAGGAAAACATAAGCTATGTTTTTAAGGAACTTTTCAGTACTGCAGTACAACCCATTCTTCCTAATGTTCATATGGAATTTTCTTCCAGTGAAGCAAGTGCAAATTCTGCACATTTATGCACTCTGAGCATCCCCCCCCGGCACAAGGAGCCCTGCCATCTGAGAGCCTGCTCAAGACAACAGATACCCAACGGTTTTGATATTTCTCAGCTAGGAGCTGCTAAATCCTGCTCAATCTGCTTCTTAATTAAAACTTGGTGATTCTTTTATTCTAATTGCCCTGTAATTGCTAAAGCAATTAGTTCAGTGTCAATTTGGATGTGCTGCATTTGGCGCGGTTGATGATATGGTGATACAGCAGGGCTCTGGGTGGGCACATGATGTCTTGTGTCAGCCAGGCAGTCACTTCCTTTCCAAGGGAAACTTTAGGAACACAGGGAAGCTTCCCAGGTCTGCTGCAAGGGTTTAATGACTCCTGCAATGCTCATCTGAGCAGGCAGCACAAAATGGGCTCAGCAGCAGGGCTGCAGGTGCTGGAATGGAGGAAGGCACTGCTTCCAGAGTGTAGAGGAAGGTGAGTCAGGGAGGTGGAGAAGCTGAGGATTGCAAAGAGTGGAGAAGGTGTCAAAAGACACAAGGAGACCATTTTGGAGAGAAAGGCAGAACCATGAAAGAACAAGCAAGGGGACAACACCGACACAGAGACCTCCTCACACTGTAGCACCAGTGTTCCCATATGGTGACCCACAGGGTCAACACCCCCCAACACTGGCCATACTACCAACAGGAACTCCATTTGTGTTGCACCTGAGCAGGGACAAACCCGAGGACACACGTGAGGCCAGGCTCTGGAGCCTGCCTGTCTCTGCCATGGGCAGCTCTGTGCACAGGGAGACCCGAGGGGGCACCAGCAGCTCTGCAGTGCCTCCACAACCATCACAAAAGGGCCAGTCCTGCTGGTATAGGAGCTCATTATGGCTTGAGATGAGCACAGGCTGCTCAGGTCGGGGCTGACTCTGCAGCACCATCCTGTGCATGTAAAGCTGCCCTGGAAGCAGCAGGGCAGGCGCTATGGCCCGGCGGGCACGGCGGGGTCATCACGGCCCCACTGCCCTGTGCACGAGCAGGATCAGCCCCAGGTCCCCTGCAGGGGACACAGGGACAGCACTCCACTGCAGAGATACTATTTCTGTTTGGCTTTCTGGCTTTCAGGCGCAGGAACTGTGGGATGTTACAGAAATCTGCAAAAGTGCTAATCAGACAGCAAATTTCAAAGGGGGAAAGAAGGGCTGGCAGGCAGGGACTAGAGATAAAATGGCAAACTTGGAAACCTCCTGCATTGTTCGGAAAACTCATCTGGAAAGGAATCAAAACTGTCTTTGGACTTGGCTAGCTGGGAGAAAGGAAGTTTAACCAGAAGAGATCCGTGCTGATTCAGGACAAAAAAATACTTAAAAAAACACAGTCTGGGGCCTTTTTTCCTCCTATTGTGAATGTATTTTAATGAGACTTCATTTTCATTTTTGACTGAACTGTTATGGGCTCTTAAAGCTACCCAGGGCACCGAAATAACTCTGCAGTAATGGAAAGCACAGTTCAGGCTGGCAGGACTTGAACTGTTCCACGCACAAGGAGCGTGGGAGGGCTTTGTTTTTATATCCTTGGGAAAATAAAAAGGTTTAGAGCACAGACTGGACTCACATGTTGCTGCCCTATTAACACAACTCAACTCCGACAAGTCATTACACATGTCCTCCCAGGAACATGCTACAGCCATTTCCAAAATGTTTTGGTGAGGCTGGGGTGGGAAAAGCACAGAAAACAGCTGCTTATCCCCAGTGCCTACTAATTTTGGGACAAATATCTATTTGCACTCCACGAAGAACCAAACCTCAGCCTCATCCCACGTGCAAAACTTGGGGAAGCTTGGACCCAGATGTAAAAACTGAATTCCAGGATCTTACTTTGCCTTTAACAGCTAGCCCCCTGATCCTGTTAGAAACTAGGCACAACAGTGAGATACCATGGTATCTCATGGGAAAGGCTTTTCTTTTCATGGGAAAGGCTTTCTTTTCTTTAACCAAAACTGTAGCACAAAATAAAAACATAGATCATTTTATCTGCGATTCTCACTCAGTTCTGCAGAAACAGAGTTCTGCATTGATTGTGCAGATGCTGGAAGTTCCCTCTGAGCCCTGTCCCTCACAGAAAGCCCCTGCTGGCTCATCCCATTCCCTCACATACCAAGCCAGCTCCCATCAGTGGTGACTTCACTGCCTTCAGGTGCCCTCCACATGGGCAGACCACGAGTGCCTGTGGCTGGCAGCTTCTTCCCAACTGAAGACAGCTCCTTCAAATCATTTTCCCCCCAAACACAAATGGACGGGCTGTTAGGCTGAGCATTAATGTGAAACAAATGTTCTGAGCATGTAGCGTTGACTTACAAGGGAAAATACAAGCACTTGGAATTTTTCCACCACACGACGGCAGGGACTTTTGCAGCAGCTGTTTCAAATAGACACTGTGATTAATGGGGATAATTCAGGAATGAAAACCAGACCCATCGTCACACGTCTGACAGAGCAGTGCTACAGGCAGGCAGGCAGCCTTCTTTTTAACCAAGAAATGCCTCTCTGAAGGCAGCAGAAGTTGATCCCGAGGAACGTGAGGCACAAGGGAGGCGCCTGGCTATCACTAGTATTTAAATCATAGCCCTGAGCTGACACCAGCCGTGTGGAAGGAGGTCTGTCCCACTGCAGGGGCTCCCTCCTCACTCATGTGGCGGGGAAGGTGCCAGCTCTGCCCATCTGGATCGAGCCCCTGTCCCTTTGTACAGCTCGGCTTGTGTCACCTTGTGACAGTGCAGGGGCCTCTCCGGACACCCTTGTCTGACCAATTCCTTTCCCTCTCCATATTTCAGCAGAACCTTGGTATCTCCTCTGATCTGGTCCCTGATCACTGTGGAGCATTTGTGATGTCAGTCTCTTGGAAATAACTTTATTATGCTCTAGTTTGGAAACCATTTGCTTTCAGAGATGGGAAATAAGCTGTGGTGATGCTCTGCACTGCCATAGCTTCAGGCTGGGCACAGGAGTTGTGGAGGGGACTGCAAGCCCAGCATGCAGCCTCAGACCACGTTGAGGATCCCCTGTGGGCAGATGGAAATGCACATTCAGCCAGCGGTCCAACAGTTCTGCAAAGGGCCTAGTCACCTCACAGACCTGCTCCCATCAGACTCCATCCTCATCCTCCCTCCGCGGGGCAGATGGGACCAAGAGCAGGGGGAAGCCAGCTCATAGCTCCCACCAGCACTGCCTGGCCCTGGGGATGGCCACAGGCCATGCCATGCTCCTGGACCACGTGGGGCTGGGCAGCTCCCCCCTGGCACCCCAGGGATGGGCAGCCTGCTGCACGTGGAGCTCCTCACCATTAATGAGCTATGTAACGTGCCCAAGCCTTCGGGCCCACGTGATAAAGCTCCACTTTCTTTCCCCTTTTTTTTCTCCCTGAGAAAGCCTTCTTGCACAATGTCCATTTTTAGCACAGGCTGGAGCTGGATCAGATGCCTCACATGTGGTCTCCAACTCCCCAAAAGGAGAAATCAGCAGTTCTTTTTCTCCAATCATTTAACTAAAGGCACAAAATCTGAAGATTAAAAAATTTCACTAATTCCCTCTTTTCTGCTCTTACAGGCTGGATAGCTGTGCCACATCGGCACAGCCATCGTCACCCACTCCTGTAACTCTTCTTTCATTAGACTGGCTAATTATGTGAGCTAAAATGAAAGATTACAAACTACAAAACCACAGGCTTTAGGACAAAAAGTGATCATCAGCTGGGATCAGAAGACATCACGATATGTATGAGAACAATAAAGAATTGCTTCTGTGGCTGTAGAAAACACTTTGGGAAAAGAGATTTTTTTCAAAGGCTTTTTCAAGGCTCTCCCCTGTGGGTATAATAGGGTGTCCTCCAATTAACTGCCGTGGAATCAATTAAGTTATTGCTCAATTCTTCTGGGAAATTCCAAACAGAACTGGCGAACGTTTGAGATAAAGCACTGAGCAGATGGACTGCTGATGGCTCTGAGATGCCAAACATACTCCTTTTTATCACAGTCAGGAAGACAGTCAGGCTTCAGGGACAGAAATCCCATCTTCTCCTGCTTGGATTTGCGTGGAACCACATGGATGCCTCTGCCCGAGAGGCCCCACACACCAGCGGGCACTGACACGGAGCAGCCCCCGCCCTGACACTCCTGGCCCTCCCAACTACTGGGGCTTCCATGCCAGAGACAGACCCTGCTGGCCTGTGCCAGCTGGTCACAGCAACAACAACACAGCAACAACAACACAGCAGCAAACCAAGTGGTTTCCCAAAGCTCCAGCCATTCTGGTTATTTCTCAGCTCCCCTGTGGCTCTTCTCAAGCATAGCAAAGACGTCAGGCTGTGCTCTGGCCTGCCGTGAAGGCTGAGCTCACCAAAGCCCTGGACAGAAGGGGAGAAGCAGCTGAACTTCAGGTTGCTTATTCACCCCTGAACTTTTCAATACAACAGTTAGTGACCGTTCGAGTGGCACTGCTGGCAGGTCCTCGGCTGCCCCCACATCCCTCCTCACTGCTGCACCCAGAGCTGATCCTGCCCCCACCGCAGCAGTGACTGGCGCTCTTACTCTGAGATAGCTGTACATGCAGATGGACATCCAGTTGGTGAGCATCTTCTCCACCACCGATTCCGTTCTTCTCAGCATCAGCTTGGGGTTTTTGGAAGCTGAAGCATCTATTAGATCTACCAAGAGGTCCTTCATGATGCTAGTGTAATACTCCAGTTTCCCATGCAGCGCAATCGTAAGCAGGGACGCCAGGTTACACCTGAAACACAGAACGTGTAGGATTCAAGCCCCAGTCCAATGAGACTGAATTGCCAACTGGCACTAAAAAACCCAGCACAAAAAGGCAGTCTCTCAGACAACTTTCATGAGCCTTCTCAATGGTGTTAGAAGTTCCAACACTCTTTCAGTGCTGCAGGACCTTGGGTCAGCTTGCATGCTCTTACTGATAAACCAAATGAGTGAGTGCTCTTCAGGGTTTATGGCCATCCATTTCTAATAGAAAAGTGGGAGGCAAGTGTAACTCAATCAACCCACTGAAATGCCCAGCCCCAGACACTGGCTGGATTGCTACAGGTTAGGAAGAAATCAGTCTCCTCCAGCTGCCATGTCTTTGGTTTTGAAGCTCATACCTGTCTCTGACAGCAAAGTCCTTCTGTTGCTCGAGAGCATGGACAAACACGATGAGAAAGTGCTTGTTGTTGAGTAAGGTGGAGAACAGTGAGATTCCTTCTTCCATGTTGGGTCTGCAGTTCTCAGGGATCTGAAAAAAAATGCAGAAAGCAGAGAAAACCCTGCTTGTTGTTTTCCTCCAGCTTTCATCCCCCTTGCCTGCAGGGATGTCCCTACTGAACACAGAGGTACCAAGCAGAAGTGCCCTTCCTCCCTCTGCCTGACGCAGCCAAGAGTCTCCCTGGCAAGGGTCACGCAGTGGAGCCAGCAGGGCACTGGCAAGGGCCCTTCCACTCAGTTCAGCACTCAGGAGGACACCTGGAGCACTGCGACCAGTCTGAGGCTCCCCACTTTGAGACAGATGGAGCAAGTGCGGCTGAGGACTGACAAAACAATCAGTGGGTGTACAGGAGAGGTGAAGAGGGCTGGGTTTGGTCAGCCTTTGGAAGTTTGAAGGGGAGATCTTACTGCAGCCTCAGCTGTCCTGTGGCAGGGCAGAGAGGACAGAGCCAGGCTCTTCTCTGCCAAAACAGTACCAGGATGAGAGGCAAAAGATACCAGATGGAGCATGGGACATTGACTAAATATAAGGAAGGCAGTTTATACCTGTAAGGGTGTCATACACTGGAACAAGGCCCCAGGAGCCAGTGGGATTTCTGTCCTTGAGGATATTTGGTACAGTTGGATAAGGCCCTCAGAAAACTCATCTAGTTGGGGATGTTTTAAGCAGATCTCCCTTCCAACCTTGGCAGCCCTCTGACTCTTCAATCCCTTCTCTCTATCCACTTCAAACCCAGCTCTGGGACAACAGTATCTTTTGCCAAGTCACTGCTTAGTAAAAGGAGGAATCTCCCTTATGAGGAGCTATGATTGAGGCTGAAGTGATACATGGTATGACACATGTCAGGAAGAAGAGCCCTCAGCAGAGCTGGGAAGGATCCCAGGCCAATGTTCCTTCATGCAAGAGCAGATCCACAGATCTGCCTTCTCCGACTGGCCAAAGCTGATCCGATGCTGGTCTGTGCTGATGGTAAGCAACACCCAAAAGCATTTGTTCTGTTAGTGGGTTACTCACCTTCCATTCCCCCACCAGGAGCGGATGTGTTTCCTGGACCTGGGAGCCCACCTGGGAGCTGAGCTGCTGGGACGGGAGGACGTAGCACTCCTCGTAGAGAGAGGAACACTGGAACCAAGCACAGCGTTAGGGGAGGGCAGTGCCCCTGCCCGGGGACTCCCTGTGTGCTGTGCACCTCAGGGCAACGAGATGGGAGCCACGTCATTGCAACTAAGACCACCCATCACAAAGATGGTTTGCACAGTTTATGAAGCCTTAAAATACTTTGCAAGAGCCTCTTGAATGAGCAGGCACCACAAATACGGGGAGAGGCAGACATCTGCACAGACACAAGGCTGTTAGGGCAGGGAGACTGCAAATAGGCTAATGTGACAGCCAGAAAACTCCCAGAAGAGAAAGTTTTATATAGAGGATGAAATCAAAATAGAGGAGTTCTGGATGTTTTAACATACGTAACTTTTGAATCAGATGGGAAAAATGTTTACATCTCTAACATTCAAATAGCAGCCTGAATCTTAAAGCCTCTAAGTGTGCAGAGATATGGAGAGTGGATAACTGCAAACCTGAGTAATAGCTACTGATGAAATACTCTGCAGTCATAAATCATCATCTCACTCCTCAGCACCGACACACAACTACCTCAGGGGTGAAATACAGCTGTGGTGAAGGGCACACAGCGACACAGCAGGGCAGCAGTGACAGAAATTACAGCGCTGACATGTCTGCTGCGGCCCTGGAGAAGGACTCTGGGCAGAAATACTGGGACTGGTACCCAAGGGACATCTTACTGGGAGCACCACGCACCCAACTTGGACAGGGAGGAAGGAAAGGGGGAGACAGAGACGGCCAAAGAGTTCCTGAGGACCGGCTGAGCTGCTGGGAACGCTCAGGGACACCCTGCCTGGAATAGAAAGCCTCTCTCCCTGAACACCAATGGCAGATTCACCCTTCAGCCACCCTTCAACCTCCACTGAATGGAATGAGGTGACACTGGAGGCCTTGAGGAGAAGTCCCCAGGACTCTGCTCATGTGAGAACTCTTTCAGAAGAGGGTGTCCAATGGCTCTGAAAGGGCGAGCTGGAGTGACTGCCAGGACAGTGCCACTGCCAGGCTATGTCATGTGCAAGCAACCCCAACCTTACTTGATGCCCCAGGAGCTGTGGCTCCACTTTTGATGGTAATCGAGGCTGAAACACATGACAAGTAAATATATAACAGTGGAACGATTTTGTGACACTGTAAAAGCCCTTTAGCAGAGCCCTGATCTGGTTGGGATGAGGTGCCCGTGACACACACTGTCTCCTTACTTTGGGGAAGAACGTCCTGGTGACAAAGTGCTTGTACTCCAGGAAGGGGATCCCTTGGCTGCGGTTCAGCTCCTTGGTCAGGTCGGTCATGTCTGTCTGCAGCTCCGCGAAACCTTGCACAAAGAGACCCGCAGACGGTGAGCACCCAATCCTCCACCAGGCAGGACAGGCTGGCACCAGAGAGCATGGCACATCTCATCTCTGCCTCCTTGAGCTGTTCCCTTGTGGAGGCTGGAGCTGTGTTTTCTCTGAGCAGCAGATTCCCACCGGCGTTTAACCATCAGCACTGTCAACCTTGTTCTGAGCACCGACAGAACATTCCCTGCCCCAGGAATCAGCCCCATGGGGTTGGGTAGGCAGTCCCCACAGGATGGGACCCCAGCTGACATGGTGGGGTCATGGACTGTGGGATGGCAGGTGCCGATGCCTGGATCACTTCTCCTATTGCTCTGGCAGGAGTGTGCTGCAGCTTCTGTTGCACCCAAGTGTAAAGCACACTGAAGATTAGCATGGCCTTCAAGCAAACCTCTGACACAGCTAGGGGTCATTAACTCCAGGACAGGGAAGCTGGTTGTGCTGCAGATCAGTGGCTTGCCCCAGTCAGGCAGCAGGACGGCAGCAAAGCCACACTTCCAGCCACTGGGCCTCATTCCCGAGCCCTGCTGAAGCTCACAGGCAGCGACAGAAATTTTCCTATAAATAATCCTATAAACTTCTACAGCGCAGAAGGTCAATTACTTCAAGCCTGCTACTCCAGCATCCTCCTTCTAGCCCTGGGTCCTCCTTGGTGCCCAGACAGTGACTTACCTTTGCGGATTTCCTCCCGGATCTGCGACTCCATCTCCTCCATCTGGAGCAGGGTTTTCTGCCAGTAGCGCTCAGCTCTGCGGCTCTTTGTGCAGAACACAAAGAGTGCTGGAAAAGAGAAAGGGAACAAGCCTTTTGGACTCAGGCTTAGGAGTAGCTGCAGCTGGGACCAGAGAGGTTCCCTCTGACATGGTGCAGAAAGCTAAACCCAAAGTTGGTTTCACACCTACCACCAGTCTGGTATCTGCTCAGGCAGTTGTCGATTTATCTGTAAATAAGTAAAACCAGCTGGAATTTAATGATCATGCTGTAACTGTCATCTTCAATTTAGGTCTGGGCTGTCTATATTCAGCTTAACTGTATACTAATGTATTCCAGCTGATTAATGAATACAGAATTTAGGATGTTTACCACCTGTATTACAGTGTTCACATCCGACAGTCTTCCCATTCCTCCAGAAATATATTTCTAATGATGGGTGGTGCATTTAATAAATAGTGTGCATTACAGCCTTTATTAAAAATAAATTAAATCCCCATTAGAAACCACTCATTTGCTGTCAACTGGCAGGTTTCTTGCTGCAGGGTCGTGCTGGGCAAGCAAGAGCAGGTACCCCAGCCCAAGGACAGAAGTATGCTGCATGGCTTCCACCCAGGTTCACACACTGGTGTGCCTGTTCCACACCTGCAGCTAAGAATGCAGGCTCTGCTCTTCCTACTCTGCCAGGCACCTGTCACTGCCTGTTCCTGATGACAGGACCTCGGGCTAGGAGCATCTCTGGGATGATCTAGGACAGTCACGCCTGTGAGTGAGTCAGTACTAGCCCAAGACCAATTTCTCACATTCTTCTTTATTTGGTATTATAGTAGCTACTAAGGTTTTGGGGAAAAGGTAAATTTATAAATATCACAGGCTCAAGGAACAGGGCTGAGCTGCGGATTCAGCCAGCAAAAGCTCTGTGCTGCTGTGGAGCCATGGCCCTGGTACTGGCTGCGTGCCATACAGAGAGCGGCTGCCTGCTGCACCCAGACCAGCTTCAGGTACTGCATAACTGCAGCACTTGAGAGTCACCTTCACTACTCCACATGCTATGACAAAAACCTCGGCACAGCCTCAGAATACATCATTCTTTCCCTTACCTACAACAGAAAGGACCAGCAGGATGCTGCAGATGACGATGGAGACAATGATTGCGGTCTCTCCTCCCCCAAGGTGCAGCATCGCGATTGTGTAGTTGAACTTTCCAACTTGGATCTGGAGAGGGAGAAGGAGGGAGGAAAAGCAGGAGCTGAGCAGCACATTGCCAAGGGGCTGGGAGCAGGGAGGGACACAAGGCAAGGCTCAGCAGACCTTTGCCCAAGGACACACTGACCACACTGGTGCAGCCCCCTGGGCTCCACGGGTGCCAGGTTGTGCCTTTCACTGCCAGACCCTGGGTGCTCCATGTGTTCAAGGGAGCCCAGTTCACCTCCTGCACTCCTGGGGATGCTGAGGCTGCTCCTGGCAGGCTGCAGTGCTGCAGCAGTGCCCATCCCAGGGCCACTGTGGGGCCTCAGCGGTGGAGCAGCAGGTCCACAACACAGCCTCACCATACCCACTCCAGAATGAGACAGCCCTTTCCTAGAGAGCACAGGACTGCCTGTGCTGCTCTACTAGAAAACCACTTCCACTAATCACTGACCTCCATTATGGCTCTGAACAGCCTTTGGATCCCAGCTGCACTAGCCTTTCTCCTCCAAAAGCAGAAATGCTGCCATGCAGAAGGAGGGTTAAGAAATTTTCAAGTCCTTGAAATACAAATAAACTAAGGGAATAAAAATAAATAATAATGAGACCATAGAGGAGTAATGATCCTGTGGCTAAAGCAGTGAACAGGGTGTCAGGAGGTGCTGGCTCTGCTCCCAGCCTGTACTTCTTGTGACACCAAGCACAAACCACTTGAGCTCAGTCTTTGGGTCTCCTGATATCCAGAAGGGAAGAGGCCAGCACACATCACAGGCTGGAGAGTTACTGGGCACCGTTTACAAAAAGCTCTTTGGGCCCCTGGGATGAAAGGATTCCACAGCATCATCTGATAAGGAAAACTCATGACCACACAAGGCTTTCACTTCTGGAAATGTGAGTTTCACTTCTCTCGAGGAACGAGAAGTGAGAGAAACTTGAGCAAAAAAACCTGAAACAAGGTAGGGAAGAGCTGGAATAATCTTACAATTACATCTGTGTCACAGAGCACCTCCAGGAAAGGTAACCCCGGGCACCCTTGGTGTAGATCCTGAAATTCCAGTAGCTCTCAGCCACGGAGCCAAAGCCGTGCCACAGGTGGGGCCTTCCCACCACCTCCATCACCAGACACCACACTGCACACAGCTCCATCCAGCCCTGGAAAATCCAGCCCTGGCTCTGGGAGCACTGGCACAGGCATGGCTGCTGCCAGCAGAAGGCTCTGGACACTGAGAGCTTTGGTCTCCACCCTGGCCCATTGTCTGAGAACCATGGTGCTGGACAGGGACAAGAGCCACAGCACTGCACAAGCACCTTGGCAGGTTTGCTCAGCAGTCCCATAGCCTGGCCCCAGGATGTCCACCTCTCCCCTCTGCAGTGCTGCAATGAGGCTGCTCCTCAACATGATTTGAGTCTTTTTTTCCCCACCAAATCAAAGTTTTGCATTTTTCAGAGGAGAAATCCCATGCCTGCTGTTTAATTCAGTGTTTAAACAGTTTGGTCATGAACAAAGATGGGTCTGAAGGCCTCAACAAGCTTCTCTTGTGTATCTGGACAGGTCTACTCGATACTTGGTAAGACCCAAACAGGGACCCTGCACAGGCCTGCCCTGTGTCACCAAAGCCATTGCAAGTGTGTTTTAAAGCAGCAGCTACTCATGGAGCAGCTGGCAGGGACGGCCTGAATCGCGTCTGAAGGTTTAGCAAGGGTGCACAGGTGTGAGTACAAGCAGATTATTTAGCTGCACTTTCACTGCTGGTGCACTCTGAACAGTCTTGTGATATTTAGGGCTGGGTATCATTCTCCTGCTTCCTGGGGACCCACTAAGGCACTGCCCTGAATGATTTATGTCACACCAAGCAAACTCATAAATTCCTTTTCTTCCCCAAAGGGATTTCCCTGTTCTCAGTTCTTTAAAAAAAAAAAAAAATTACCCTGTTTAAAATTTCCATTAAAATTACTCGGGAAATTTTGGTACTTCTGCATTACCACATTTCCCGTTTGCAGTAGAATTTCATATACCTCAAACTGTTGCCAGTAAACTGGACAACCCTGTCAGCAAACTGGTGGTGCATCCTCATGCCTTTCTTCTGGGCTGCTCAAGTCCACAGCTCCTCAACTCCCTTCAGCCTTCCTTTTCCTCCCTGCCCCCGCTACAGGCTCCCACCCATCCCTAACCCTAATCCTACCAGCACAAGGACTGGGAGGGGGCAGCACCATCTCAGCCCACGGAGGTGGAGGCATTTTCTCTCAGATACAAAGAGCCATAGTCACATCCCTGGATGGCAATGGACTGTGTATGACATGACAGAAACTGAGGGTGAGCACAGCAGTTTAATCAAGCCCTCTGGAAAACAGGGAAGTACACAAGTGTGGTGAATTTTGCAGACACAAAGAGGAACAAAACAAATTCCTTGCAGTGACAAAGCAGCAGCCCCTGGAAGCAACATGAGGCTGTCCAGCCCTAGTACTCCTCCCACCCTCCTGGTCACATGCAGGGACCCAGCCTGGTGAGGGTCTGACTGTCACGGCCATTTGTGGCCCTTCTGCAGAGCAGCTAGCTGAAAGCTGTAAGGAATTCCCCAAACATATCTCATGGGGGACAGAAAATCACTGCAAGTGACAAAATCTCATGTGCCTGAGACCTCAGCGAGCCTTAGCAGAACTGAGCAAGCACCCCGTGAGCACAGTGCAGTACCTGAGCAGGCAGCTGTCCCATGACCTGGAGTGCAGCAGCCCCTCACCACAGCTTGGGCAGCCTTCATCCCATTGACCAGCTGCCCTGGGACAGCCGCCAGCACGGCGTGCTTTGTCCACCCTTCCATCTGTGCAGCCTTGCGTGGGGTCACCAGTGGGTGAGCTGGGCAGGTCCTTCGCACACAGGGTTTGCAGCGGGACCCCTCTGCCCCCCCCCCTCACAGTGCCGACGCTCTGAACTCACCGTCACGGGTAACTGCCTTTCTGAGGTGCTCAGCGACTCATTGATGGAGCAGTGGATGACTTTGTCTGAAACAATCTGGATCTCACATGAGATCAGGCCGATTTTCACCTGGTACTCATTGCTCTCCAGGCCCAGGCTGTCAGGCTCTTTCTAAGGACAGAAATAGAATCAGAATGTCAGGCTGCAGAGTAGCAGTTAGAATTGCAACTGATCTTCCTCCTTTACTTTCCATATTCCCTACTGTTTTGCAGACCTGGAAGACTTCCCCTCAGCAAGGACATCTCCCTCACCAAGGACATTTTTCCAGCACTCCATGGGAAAGCCAGAACCAGGCCATTCCTCATTTTCCTGTTTCCCATTCCTCACGCAGCACGGGGCAATGGGATGAACAAGCCTCTCATGGAACCTGGAAAAATCTGCTTTTGATCTGGCCTGCTGTGCACTGAAGATAAGGATCTAAGTGCCCACCTGGGAGGGGGAAGGATGTACAACAGAGAGGACAGCCAGGGGATGCGCCTGCGGAGCCTGAGAAAGGGGGAGCACATTTCTGGAGCACGTTGTAAGCAGGGAGGATATCCTGCAGTGAACAATGGCCTTTGAATTACTACTGCTCATTGTACAGGCCACTCAGCTGCTGCACCCTGACTTCCTTGTGAGCGGAGCTGAATTCAGTAGTCAAAAGAGAAGAATGCATGACCTGTTTCTGCAGGAATAAACACCTACTGTCAGGCTCATCTGCAGTACCTGCCTTGTTTCAGGCCAGTGCATTGTCATTCTTTTCCACACATCCAGTATTTCATTTAGTCTCATGCTATGACACCCTCCCTGCAGCTCTGTCTCAGAGGGCATCCTCAGGCCGGGCTGCACCTCCTGGGACAGAGAGATGCAAGAGCAGTATGCTGAACCCAAACCACCTGCTCCTGCCTCTCCAGTCCCCAGCTACCCGCTGCTCTCTCCTCTCCCTGTGCACGGTCACTGCACTGGCACTTTGGACTGCAGAGCTGCCCGTGGGGGAGCAGCAGCACCCCGAGAGAAGCAGAGCTCTGACAGCCGCTCCCTTACGTGTATGACCAGAGTTAAGGGCTCGCCGGGATGGTGCTTGATCCACTTCTCCTTCTTGGCTGTGGAGAACTGCGGGTCAGCATAGTACTCCAGGCTGAACTTGCTGAAGTGCAGGGCCTCCTCAGGGTACATCTCCTCATCCAGAGCTGGGCGGTCATCTGCGTAGAGGCGCCCATTGAGGTAGAAGTCAACGGGGGCAGGTTTGCTCCCCACAGTGATGTTGGAGGCAGCTGGAGAGGGGCAGGTGATCGTGGTGTCAGTGTGAACCTTGCAGCACTGCAAGCAGGAGAGCACGATAACATCAGAACCCCAGCACTACGAGTGCTCTCAGCCCATCCTGAGGCGTGGGCTGAGGCCTCAGCTTCACACCCCAGCCATCCTCTGGCAGAGGACACACAGCCCCACTGCCACCAGCCATACCCAGCCAGGACACCCACCGTGTGTTCTCTGCCGATGCCACGGACAGCCATGGACACGTTCTGGACCAGCCCAAAGCCTCTTCCCTCCAGGGTGATGATCCTGCCCCCACTTTGAGAAGAGAAGAAAGAGAGGGTGACTGCAGAGGACAGTGCAGCAGCAGGGTGTGATGGCTGAGTCTCCCTCCTGTCCTCATCTCTTTTCCCAGAGGTGTTTCCCAGCTGCTTGAGCAGAAAATTTGGCCCAACAGCTAAAGTCTTCTTCCTGCTTACAGCAAGGATCCACACTGCTACCACGGTATCATGGAAGGAAGGAAGGAGGAGCAGATGCTGTGGTGGAAAGTGGGAGGGCCTCTTCCAGCAGCAGGACACATCCCCTGCCCCTACCCATGTCTCTGCCCCTGTCCCTGCCCCTCAGAGACCTGCAGAGAACTGTGAGTCCTGAAGAGGGAAAAGTCCCTTAGAGGCTGGCAGGGATCCTGCATCTCCTACAAACTTCTGATTTAGACCAGAATGTGAAAGTTGTTGTTTTGTACCTGCTGGGGGGGAAATGCAACCCATGGGCCTCTCACTGTGCAGTCAACTAACAACACAAACGAGCAGCACTGCTGTGCACAAGGCAGAGCAAGGGCTGGAGAACCATCACTGCTCATCTGCACCCTGGATTTACCCTCCCCTTCCTCCATATCATATTTGACCTGGTTAGAGCATTTGCCAGGGAACAGTCAGAACTCACAAATCCTATTATGCAAAGAGCACTCCAGGCACAGTGACTTTGGCCATGAGGCCCCGAGGTTCTCTGAAGCCTGAAGATATCACAGGTAGTTATGATCCAAGTTTCTGCCTGTCACATCTGCAGACTAGCTTACAATTTCTGTTTGGGTTTAAATTTTGCTTATATGAATTATTTTATCAACATGGTAACAGGAATCAGTTCCAACTAGATTTCTACACAAGTTATGACCCCCTCATGGTCAACAGCCCAGCAGCATGGTATAGCAGTCAGACTGCATAAGCCACCACACAGGCTGTAGAAGTCACAGACCCTGTGCTCTGAAATTTGGGAACTGTTGTGCTAAGAAAGCATCGCTAAGGTGACGGAGAAATACCCCAGTGGTTTCCTTGTGACTGTAAGCAGGGACATTCTTCCCCTGTCTCTTTTTAGACAGCGCTCTCGACACTCAGCAGTTGGGAGCCTGCGAGGGGCTGAGCCTGGATGAGTCATGGCTCTGCCTTTGCACTAACATTCCCACAGCCTGCGGCCTTGGCGCTGCGCTTGGGAATGCCGAGAGGCGGCTTTGTTCCAAAGGATCAGACCACCAGAGCCTGCTCGCGCTTGCCTCTGGGTGCGCTGCTTCCACCAAGGTCCTGCCGCCACAGCTGCTGGCATCCCAGATTTCCTGGTCAGCCCTGGGTTTTCCAGACTTCACAGCTGAGGAGGGTCAGATTTCACTATGATATCCAAAGGAACAGAAGCCTGAGTGCTCCACAGAGAGACGTGAAATTAAAAGCAACACATTTTCAAAATTAAATACTGTGACCTTGGGGAAGGCTGAAATCCAAAATTACAGATCTCATCCTTCTACAGTTTTACTGCCAAGAAAAATCCTCAGGGTCTCATTGAGCCCCCACCTGAAACCTCCCTAAAGTACCCACCAGGTATGCATGGTACAGTTACTAAGGCTGACATTTTTCCACTCCTAAATGTATCAAAACAAACTATGGACAGTCCTGGTGTGTAAGACCTCTTCTACTCCTGTGCTGGGTTACCCTGGAGCACCCTGAGAGCAAGCTGCAGTGCCCTCTGTACCCATCTGCAAGGCAATGTGTCCAGCTCCAGGGCTGGGAAGCCCCTCTCTCCCACCACTCTGGAACTGACCCTCTCTTTCACAGGCTGTCTTGGCTGGGGCAGGATCTCACCTGATCTGGCTCTTTTTGGGGTTGATGTCTGATATAACCGGGTTCTTCTCATACTTGAAAGTGATGTTGAGGCTGGCACAAGACTTGTTCTCAAACTGCACGCAGACTGGCACAGGGGTGGTGAGCTCCGCGGCGGGCATGGTGCAGGTGATGGTGCTGTCGGTGCGGCTGCGAGGGGAGAGGCAGGTGAGCTGTGGCACAGGCACTGGAGCCTGGCACTGCGGGCTTGGGCAACCCCTTGGCAGCCAGGCAGCTGGCAGCCACAGGTGAGAAGGAGCTTCCAGTTACATGCCAACTGCCTGTCACACTTGGTCTGCTAAGGAGCACCAGCACACACCATCCCAGCTGCCGGACCAATTCCCAGCACAGCCAGAGGGAAAGGGCAGGCAGGGGAATGCTGTGCCAGCGCAGAGTGATGCCCCCCACCAAAACACCTGCCCTGCTCGACCACCTGGAGGCCAATACCATCCTTCCTAATGCTTTGTCTCCTGTCACTAGCCCAGCACCAGCCCCCAGCCCTGCTCCCACCTGAGGTCAGTGCACTGCTTGGAGGAGTTGATGAGGACACGGAGCTCCGAGCCGACATCCAGCCTGCTGCCTCTGATGGTCACTCTGGTTCCTCCAGCCTTCGGGCCATTTGGGGGAGCTATGGACTGCACCAGGGGAAGCTAAAAACAAAGGGGAAATCTGTTTCCTAGCCTAGTAAATCTACAGCTGGATACTCCACACTGCACATGGGAATTGATTCAGAACGTGTAAATATCCAGCACCACGAGGCTCAAACAGCAGCACAGCAAAAGCTCTCACGGGCAGGGTTTCGGAACTAGAGGACAGGTACAAGCACTAAGGAGTGAGGCAATACAAAATCTCAGTGACTCTCCGTGGTCTCTGAATTCTGGCTATAAGGGAGACATGAGGCCAAACAGAAGCCCAGGATCCCACTAGTCCCTTCAGTTTTCCAGCAGAGGGATCCAGAGCCAGCAACAGCTCAAGGTCCATCAATGAAAGGAAATTTCTCATTCGTTCCCTCTCCCACCACTTCTGCCCTTCCAGATCCATGTCTTCCTAAATGCAAGGATAATGTTAAAGCCCTGCTGGATGATGGCTTTGAGATTGGTGAAAACAAACACCTGCATCTAGATAATTGAATATCAAACCCCTGCTTAAGGAAGCTTAAAATCTGGATCTCTTGAGGCGACAGGAACTAAAGGGGAAGTTACTTTGCCTCTCACCATTTGCAGCAGAAATTAGCGTGTATGTTATCTGTGTTTGCAGACCCTGGAAATCTTCCTGAGATTCAAGAGCTGAAGGCTTTGATAGCTCACGTGGCGCTGAGCCCTTGTGTCTGCTCACAGGCACCCCAGGAGAGGCTGCTGGCAATGTCTCTGCTCCATTTGAGCAGGACAGCCAGGGTAGAACAAATAATGATCTCAAGACCCCTCCACAGGGCAGTGGTAATTCCCTCTCAGACAGCACATGCCCTGAGGCAAGAGGCCCATGGGGACTGGCCCTGCTCACCCCCAGGCCGTCCCTCAGAGCAGACCCGCATGAGCAGGAAACCCATGGATTAAAATCTACCCTTGCCCTTGTCCTGCACTCCGATGGCTTCATTCCTCTGCAGTCATTTTCCTTGTTGTTTCTGACCGTCACCCACTTCCACAGGATCCGTTTTGTATTTCTCTGGGTGTCTGTAGGCAGCTGTCTCCTGCCCTTGGCCCTTAACCCACGCACTGACAAGTGCAGCTACAACAGCAGAGACGATTGTTCCTGTTCCCCAAAGCCCTCCAGCTCTTCCCCTCAGCCAGAGCCAGTGGCTGCTGCTCTCGGTGCACTGCCAGCACCAATCGCCTCCATCGCAGCTTTGGCAAATCCAGCTCATCCACAGCCTGCTACAGTGTTCTGCAGGAGCCTCTCCCTCTTCCTCAGCACAGTTACAGCTGAATCCTACCTCTTCTAGACACATCTAATGGGGACTATGAAACATGTAGCACAGAAACAATATTTGGTATGTCACAAGAGGCTTTCTTTGAAAGGGCAGCTCTGAAAGTCTTTTAAATTTTTCCAGGCAAACTGTATCAGTAACCAAGCTCAGATCTCACCAAGACCAGCCTTTCATGGTGTAGGCTACACCGTCTGCATGCCTTTAGGTATGAGAGGAGAACCAACAAAACTAGTGTTGCTTGATCTGCAAATGGTGCAGAAGCACATTTTTTGAAAAGTTGCAAAGCAACTCTTGGTGTGACACACCCCCAGGAATGCATCATGCAGTGTCCCTCCCCACCACACATGCAGGGCACTTCCTCCTCTCTGCTCCAAGCTCTGCTGAGACACACAGACTGAGAGACAGACAGACAGGCAGCTTTCTGCTGTGCCACCTGACCAGGAATGGCTCCTCTCCCACTCCAGGGTATGCTGCCTGCTTCCCGAGCTTGCCCAGGAGCTGCCAGCACAGGGCTGCCACAGACCCAGGCTGAGGTCAGGGACTGGCTTTGTTCTGTGCTGGTGCTTCCACAGGTGTTTCCTGAAAGGCTTTTCCCGCATGCCGAGAGCTGGACCCTTTCCCACGCTCCCCTCTGTCAGGCAGACAGTATCCGGCAGCAGGGGATGTGCCAGCTGAGCACATACCTCCTGAGAACCCCTAGACCCTGGGGCCATCACTGGATTGTACCCCCGTGGCACCTCAATCCACTCCAGACTGCTGGATCTCCTGCTGAGACTGACCCGGCCATCGCCTCGCCAGTGCCTCCCTGTGCACTGCCAGGCCTGGCTCTGCTGGGTGCTGGGATGTGCCATGCCTGTGCCAGTTGCACACTGTGTAACCCATAACCCTCCCTGAACTAAACACCCAACCTCTCATAGGGTACAGGGTGGGGAATCACACTCCATGACCTGCCCTAAATTCTTCACAGTGGCCACCAGGAATCAAATGTCGTCTCCAGGGGTTTTGAGTCTCCTCTCAGGCCAGCAGCTTGCATCATGGGCTGTCCTGCCTCAGCCAAAGCTGGAGCGGAGGCACAAAGATTCCGAGCCCTCTGCATGCCCTTGGCACCAACCTGCTGGGGCTGCCCAGGAGTAGCATCCAGTCATGGACAAAGGTCGTGTTGGGAAGAGAAGAAATGCACGGATTTCTCTCAGGTTTGCAGAGATGAAAGCTGTCTTAGAGATGGCACAGCACAGAGCTATAAAGGGCTTTTCTTTGAACAATGACAGAGGGTTAGCTCCAGTCTAATCCCTACACATTACTTCATGCAAAACCTAACACAATCTCTGCAGCAAAAATATCAGTTCTAAATAATGTGAATTCCTCGAATGTAACCTACACCTCACAAAGGAGCTTCACAAATCTCAAAGAATCTCCCAGGTTGTAACAGCACTTTAGCAAAAGAGGTAGAAGAAAACAGCTCCTTTTATAGAAGGAGAAATGTCAATGAGCTGGGACAAGACACACCCCTGCAGAAGCTGAGCCTGGGAGCACAGCTGTGCCACCAACATCCTGCTGAGATCCTGCCAGACCCCACTCAAGTAACCACAGGTTACCTCAGGAGCTCCTTAAGGACCCCAACATGTTTAGTTGTAGATCATGTTTCCCAGCCCCCTAGGGAAGGTGGGCAGACCTGCAGGCTCACTCTGAAGGGTGCAGGAATCACCAAAGAAGCACTCGAGATGGCTACTCACCACATAGGAGTATCGCTCCCTGGACTTCCCTTCCCGGCTCACATTAACCGTTACCACATCCGAGAACGCCTCCTGAGCCTCTCCAGTCTGGCACACGATCCTGTGGAGGGACGAGGCGGTTGGCAGCAGTGCCTGGCAGCAGGGACGGGGACGGGCAGGCACAGGCAGGGGACACACAGGGGACAGGGCCCTCCTCCTCAGCTCCCCCAACTCACATCTCAGAGACGACGTATCTGTCGGGCAGCGGGGCGCAGTGCACGCTGCCCACCCGGACAGCAGCGAGGACGTCGCTGAAGCGGCGGCCCAGGTTCCTCCCACGGATGGTCAGCAGTGTGCCCCCCTCCAGCGGCCCATGCAGAGGCTCAATCTGCAGCACCAAGGCACAGGGCACAGAGTCAGAGGATCACAGAATCCTACAATAGTTCGGGTTGGAAGAGACCTCAAAGACCATCTAGCCCCATCCTTCCTGTCATGAGCAGGCACACCTTCCCCTGGACTAGGTTTGGGAAGAACCACCATGAGCTTCTGGCCTTCATCCCTGAGC